GCTTTGTTTGCTTCGTAGCAGAGCAGCAACCTACATTTATTATTGGTGTTCTTCTATTTTCTGTTTTTTATATTCTAAAAAAATGGGTATTAAATTTATATTTTATATATATATATATTTTTTTTTTTTCTTTTTTGGGGATGATTTTACGTGATTCCTGGAAGAAAAAAATAAAAAATAAAAAAAATTGGGGTAGGGATATTATAAATTAATTACAATGACGCGGTTGATACGGCAATCGTACAGTTAAATGGCGTGGAAGCTTTTGTCTGGTGATCTGGGTTTTATATCAGATTGGGATTTTGTTTGTTTCTATGCATACAATTTTTCTCATACTTGTCTTTTTAAAACTCTCCATCCATGATGTCACGTGCTCTTTCTCTACTTAGAATTGCTCTTACCCCTGCCTGCAGAGTCTCTGTTCCTTCTGCTTCATATGATTGTACCTTCTCACTTTTCCATTTATAATAATAATTCAACTACCATCTTTTATTTATTTTTGCACACTGTAAAGTTAAAAAAAAAAAAAACTAATTACATTTACAATTTTGTTTTTGCATTTAAGACAAAAGGAACCCAAGAAATCAAAATGTTTTGACATGCTTGATTTCGCGTTCGTTTCAGAAATTAAATGACATGATTAGAAAACATGACGTTTAGTGGAAGGAAGAAAAGAGGGGAGAGGGTTTAATTTCAAAGTGGAAAAGAAAACATATACTTTGATAAGATTTAAGATAAACTAGGGTGTGAGGGAGAATTTTTAGATGGGGTTTATTTTGTTCTAAAGGATTAACAGTGTTGATTGAATTTTTTTTAAGTCCCTGTTTTTCTCTTAGAACTAGAAAAAGTTACATGAATGGCTGGAGTAGATCTTTAGATGAGAATGGTCCCAAAAGGATAAAAATCAAAGAAGAAAAAGGGGAAAAACAGAGGACGCTCTGAAATGGAGACAGAGAGGTACAGGCCTCGGATCAGAACACAGACTTGGGGCACATTATTGTCTTTGATATTAGGCTCCTCCATACGTGTACTTTTATCACCCCGAAGAATTTATTAGAAAAAAAGTTAGCAGGATTGTTTCTTTGCTTCGCTTAGTTTCTCCTAGTTTTTGTGTTCCACTTCACTGACGAAGATGTTTATTGTTAGGCTTTTCATGGGCATTCTCCCTGCATAAGAAACAAAACAAGTGTGACTTTAGGATATCGTTTTGTTGCATTATTATATTAGGGTTTTGCTTGATTTGGAGAGACGTGTTTGGCCGTTTGGGATTTGGGCCTTTTTACAAAAGCTAAGCACCTTTAGCTTTTTAGCTTTTAGCTTAAGGTGTAAAGCAAAGTTAATGGCCACCAGAAGACCACTTATCTGCTTATCCACAGCCAGTAGGCCGCGGGCCACAATAACTACGGAGGGAAACAAAAAAAGAGCAACTTGTGCATTAGTCTCAATATTTTCTTAGCAAGGAAGGAAAGGCCTTGATTTGCGACCATTTTAACTGGTAATTTTGAACCATCTCAAAAACAATTTCATACATTTGGAAGAATGACTCGAGCAATAAAATTACACTGATCTTTCAAATATGGATTGATTCTTGCATGTGGTCATCAAGTTGGTTGTGGGTTAATACTTCCCTGGCCCGTGCACTCCTATGTTGAAGACGTTGGTGTAATGTCTCGGACATTTGGTTAAAGAAGTCGGTATCCCATCGATGGATCAACAATGGATCTTCCGCATAACAGATGTATATAGATGTTACAGCACTCTCCACAACAACCATTGCCAGACCCACCTGAACAAGAACATTACGTGAGATAACAGATAAAAACAAGCATCTCACAAGGGCAGTTGGTGAAAGGGAAAAAAAAAAAAAGGAAAAAAACAAGGGGGAAAAAGAAACAAAGTGAAGCAACTTGTATTCACTGTAACATGATGTCCAGTTGATAGCAGCTGGATTTTCCAATTAATGTTGCAGTAATAGAGTTTATACGTGACAGAATCCCATATTTATCTTTTACTTGACAATTCAACGTGAAAAGATGAAAGAATGCCAGAAGACGGGACAAGTGACTATATCTTGAAAACGGGACAAGTGACTATATCTTGAAATTTTCAAAGAAAATGATCATTTAATTAACTCTGCTATCATAAACTGACTATATCTTGAAATTTTCAAAAAAATCAATTAATTAACTCTGCTGTCATAGATAAGCACCATCTGTATATCATTATTACAATATAAATTGCATTAAATTATGCATAAACTGGAAAAAAAAGTAAACAAGGGAAGCACGAGATTCTGATAGAATGGATGGGTTCATTAACTAAATATAAAGATATCTGATTCTGCAAGGTAAATAAAACAAGAACATAGCAGTGTAATTTAGAAAATCAAGTGAGCCCCAAAAAGGTCCACAGTGAGCTGCTGCCAGATAAACACACTAAATCCTAAAACCCAATTTCTAAATGAACAAGGTGCAATGCCCTCAAGAAATCCCGTGTAAGAAACTCCCAATGGAACTTACGAGAGGAAAGGGAGACACCTTTTAAGAGAAGAGACTTACCAAGACCATTCCCATCAACATTGCAGTAGAACCCACCATAATCATTCTGTCTCTGTATTTAATCCATGCCCAAACACCCGAGCAGGTTCCAGTAATAAGCCCTCCAAAAATAGTGCCCATCAGCAAAACAGCACCCGAACAATCATAGGCAACAAGTGCTTCAACCCCTGTTGATTGGAATAATTCCCAGGCATCCCTGGCTGAACGGTTAAAACCTTTTCCGTAAACAGCTATCTGATGGAGAAGAAAAGTAACAGACCATGCTAAGGTTACTCACTTATGCCACAATAGGTTACTTTCCACAAATCAAAGTAAGATATTAATTGAACAAATAAATCACCTAATAATTAAAAAAAGAAATCACCTATAAACTTATTGACTTTTGGTATGATGGGTAGGGTACGACAAGGAGTTCGTAAACCCTTTATGCCATCCTACATAATTTTTTGCAGATCTTTTATGAATAGAGTAAAATCTTTCGTTGGGTAATGTTATTTACCCATGAGAGGAAAAGAAGCACTACTCCACAAAGATACAATAAGCAGTATCCGATCTATAAAGGAAAAGCTAGAACGTTTTGGTCCTGGAGTCAATGAAGTATAAAAATAATAATCAAAGTGATCAGAATTACAAAAACTATTAAGAGGTCAGAATTATCTTTAGGATAATTAATTGTGCCAAAATGTTAAGTTATTGGGATTAATGAAACCAAAGTACTAAGAACTTTAACAAAAATATTTTCTATAGCAGAATCAAGTGGGTCAATTGCGGCTACTTTTACTTCTACTTCTATTCCTTGATAAAAATATTTGTAGAAATATTAGGATAAGTTATATTTACTATTACTGTTCACTTATTTTATTCTTGTTAAACAACCAAGCATCCGTAACAGAATGATAACTGTCATTTAGTATGAAAGGTTATTAATTTGTTTTGTTTTTTCCTTTCTGTTTTGCCTATAAAATGAGGCACAAAACTTGATGAAATAAGATGAAAAAAAAGAATTTTTCCTACTCTCAAAATCTTCATGGTATCAGAGCATATACCTAATCCAAATTCTTCAGCATCCCTCTTGCATTCAATAGGGCAATGGATGAACAGATTTCCTCTCCGCCCGAAGTCCTTTCAGGCTCCTATCTTCCGGTGCCTGACAACCATACTCTTATTGATCCGGCTCCTTCTTTTGTTACTGAGCATCGACTAAATATCTATAATGGTCGTTCTCGGTATTAATATTCATCCGAGGGAAAGATCAGGATAAATACCTCATTGGAGAGCTCTCACCACCTCCCACGAATGATCCAAATGCTCGGGCATGGAAAGTAGAGAACAATCTTGTTATGTTTTGGTTGGTGAACTCAATGACCATCAATATTAGAGAAAATTTTTTTTTTTATGAGACTGCGCACAATATCAGGGTCGCAGCCTATGAGTTCTACTCCACCCATGACAACACTTCTGCCATCTTCGAAGTTGAAGCAAAGTCTTCACGACCTGCGCCAAAGAGAAAAGACGGTAACCCAATACTACAATTTTCTTACCTGAAAATGGCAACAACTTGACGCTTTTGAGGAACATGTTTGGAGCTGTTCAGAGGACGCTAGAAGATTCCTAAGCATTGTGAAATAAAAACGAATATTCAAATTTATCTTCAGACCGAACAAATACCTCGACGAGGTAAATTACTAATATATTCTTTACTGTAATGTGATCCTAATCCATATTTCTTAACGTTTTCCCTTAAGCCAGTGAATAAATATTAGCTATCCCATCAACAAATTGGGAAGTAGTGGACATGTATGAAGTGTATATCAACCCACTATCCAACTTTTTTTTTTTAAAGTATCTGTATACTCAATACACAACATGGCAAACTAACACTTTTATCGACTTATTGTCGCAATAGCGTCTCATAGATCCATCCCACTGAATCTTCAATTTTTCTAAAATCATCTCCAACCATAAATAGAAGTTGACACACCCCTTGAGCCATATCCCTGAATTTTGACTTTGCACTAGATCGAACTATCATATTCTACTTCTTACTTCTTTAAATCACTATATTCCCTCCGAGAAATGTACAATATCCAAAAGTTGATCTCCTCAAAGCTAGTGATCCTGCATAGTCCTTATAATGTATGCTTCAAGAAGCAGCTATTCTTTCTTTTGAACAAAATTCCCTTTCTCGGAGTACTCTTCAAGTAGTGGAGTATTCTGCAGGAAACTTATATGTGCACATCTTTGGACCTGCACATGAACTGTCTTACCACAATAACTGCCTATATAATAGACGACTTGATATGTGACAAGTATATCAATTTTTCTGTTAGTCTTTGATACATTTCTTTATCCATATATGGGTCTTCTTCTGTCCATCTCAGTTTATAATTGGGATCAATAGGTGCATTAGCAGACTTAAATGCTAAATTTACCAGTTTTCTTTAAAAGGTCCCTAACATATTTTTGCTGTAAGATAGAATACTTAAGATTTTGAGTAGGCCACTTTATCCTAAAGAAATGTATCAATTTTTCCGTTAGTCTTTGATACATTTCTTTATCCATATATGGGTCTTCTTCTGTCCATCTCAGTTTATAATTGGGATCAATAGGTGCATTATCAGACTTAAATGCTAAATTTACCAGTTTTCTTTAAAAGGTCCCTAACATATTTTTGCTGTAAGATAGAATACTTAGGATTTTGAGTAGGCCACTTTATCCTAAAGAAATATATCAATTTTTCCGTTAGTCTTTGATACATTTCTTTATCCATATATGGGTCTTCTTCTGTCGATCTCAGTTTATAATTGGTATCAATAGGTGCATTAGCAGACTTAAATGCTAAATTTACCAGTTTTCTTTAAAAGGTCCCTAACATATTTTTGCTGTAAGATAGAATACTTAGGATTTTGAATAGGCCACTTTATCCCAAAGAAATATTTTAATTTTTCCGATTCTTTAACCTCGAACTCTCTAGCCAAACATTACTTGAGGACCACCTTTTCTCCTTCATCATTCCTTGTAACCCATCCTAATATACCTGCAAGAATGGAAGCTATTTGTCTATGTGGCTGGTGCAGCTTGCCTGTTTGGTAAAGCAACCGCATCTGGGGTGGCTAAGTAAAAAGGGCAATGCGCAGCTGAGCCGTAGCAGGAGGGGTGGTATAGGCAGGAGTGTCCGCGGCTTGTGGCTTGCAGCTGCAGGAGAAGAAGTCACAGCTTACGGCTGGGTTGCTGACGCTGTTGGCGATCAAAGCCAATCTTGTTGCAGGTGATTGGCAGCCGGCAGTGATAGGCGGCTGGTGGTGGTGGTGGCTGGACTATGGTGGTCAGCTATGAAAGTCGACCCCCTTTTAGTTTATATATATATATTTGGCAATTAAAGGCAAAAAAAAATTGTAAAAGAGTAGAATTTTTTTTAAACAAAGGCTTTGAAACCATATGAAAGAATAAACTGTTATATATTCCATTGGATATAGGGCCCTATATAGAGAAGTGAATATTAATAATATAAAGAAACAATATTAATAACAAAGATCACAAAGATTGGGATATATTAATAATGTATCATTTACCCTAATGTAACCCTAATGTATAGATAGCTTCTTGAGAATTTATAAAGCCACTCTCCCCCTCCTAAACTTGCTTCTTCTCGAGCATAGAGCTAAATGATCAAAAGCCTCCCAAGAAGCATGTGTGTGAGACAAACCTTCCCAGTGAATCAAGGCCTCTCTCTGCACAACCGACACACAATAATCCAGGATTGCTTGAGGTGTAGGGAAAGGAACACCTTGGCAAACCACATACAACAAGGGTTCAACCGATTTTACACCATGAAATTTCTTCGTACAAAAATGGAAAACAGGATGAAGCTTGGATTCAAATGGCAGCGCCAAATGATAAGCAGCATTACCTGCTTTGTCAAGTAATTCAAAAATACCCATGGAAATGATGACAAATCTTTTGATTGCATTCCAAACAGAACGAAATTAGCCTGTAGGCTGCAGGCACAATAAAACCCATTTATCAACTAGCGTAGGAGAGATCCATGTGATGCCCATCATAGTGATGCTTCATAGCATTCTGGGCCTTTGACAATCTGTTCTATAGAGAGGTTCAAGATCAACTGCCTTCATCTCAGACAACCCAGGGGAGGGTGACCATAAACAACCTCAACGGGAGTAGCTCGAAGAGAAGTTTGATAACTGGAATTGTAACAGGATGCAGTGAAGGAAGGAGAAATCTGGGCTGTGCTTGGAATCAGTGGGGTCATGGCAGGTTAGGTGAAGACCGAAATTTAGGTTTGGGGGGTATTTGTGGTTGAAGGAAACATGTGGAGATTATCCCATCAACTATATTTTGGGTGGTGCGGAAGAGATGAATAAGAGGATTTTTGATGAGGTTGAGGATGCTGATGATTTTGATATTCTAAAAAATAAATGGTTCCAGAAACTATGGAGAAGTTGACAAATCTTGTGAATAATTTGATTAATTTGTAAATTTTTATACCTGTGCTGCATCCCCTTTGTGCCTATAGAAATATACTATTTACAACTTTTTATTTAAAAAAAAAACAGTATGCAGTGGAGGACACCCAATCTACCTACTTGCATAGTTGATTACTAGTGTCGCAATGAAGATTCATCTCCACCATTCTACTGACTACCTAGGTTTGCTCGTCCAATTGAGGATGGGAGGCAGAACTAAAAGAAAGCTTGACCATGCTAAATTAATTAATTTTGTCCAAAAGAGGTGATTATAGTAACATCTCTTATTTCTGACCAAAGTTTCTTGCAGCCCATGCACTTAAAAACAGTATCATGGAAGAGTCTACTAACGTTAACTGCTGTATAAAGGATGGGACATGGGAATAAAATTGGCATATTACGAAAGACAATCAACCCACAAGAATTGAAACTTGCTTACGTCAAGGTGGAGGGAGACCTTTCACAAAATCCAAAAGAAAAATTCAGCCCATCTTTGTACTAGAACTAGAAGTAATTGCAATAAACTTGCCACTTGTAGGTGTTCAACCTTATGATAGTGGCTAGGAAAAGAAGTGTGGACAAAGTGTCAAACCAGCTCTCTCATGCCGTTCCAAAAGAAATCAGCCATAAGTCATCTCAAGGTTTTCTGAAATCCGTAATGGGCTTGATTGTGAATGCAGGTAGGATAGTGAGAATGGAGAAGAAAGTCATTTACTTACAGCCCAATGAAAGATTATATTGCCGCTTGAAGATTTCCTAGGTAATATCTGTTTTTGAATTGGCAGTCTAAATCAAAAGATTACATTGCTGCTTAAAACACTTCCTACATAATCCATTTTATCCCATTCAACTTTCGAAAATCAAAACTGAATATCTCCTTCTAAATGAAAAGATGTTAACCCAACTTTTTCCTCCTCTGGAACACATTGCTGTTTAAGAAACATTCAAAGAAATTACGCCAACCTAGAGGATCAATCACATCATGGCAAGAATACTTGGGATCAAAGCCGGGTGCTCCTGTAAATCTTCCCCTTGGCCCTGTCAGCTCCCTCCTACCTCTATTATATTATCCTCACCAACTTCAAGCCAACCTGCTGTCTCCCAGCTGATAATTCTCTGAAGAATTCCTTGAGACGACCCGTAGTAAGGACCTGTTGCTTTTCTATGAATTGTTCATATTGCGTGTGATCTTGTGCTTGGTCTCATTGCTACAACTTGAGAAAACACTCAAATTGTCATTGAAAAGAATGGGAGTCAGCCATAACTACAGGCTCCAATACTGAATTGTATGCCCTACGCACTAAATCTAGTTATATGTCTCTATAAAACTAAAATCGAATAAAGAAAGACCAGAGCCTCAGGTTTTTGCTTCCTTTTTAACCTATCTTGATTGAATGCGTGGATTCGCCAAGAGAGAGCTCAAAAGATCTCCTAGAGTTTGAAATATTCAAGAAACTTTATGAACGATATCTGCCTATTTACTCCACTTGAAATAGCCTTTTTTAAGGCATAAATTGATAAGACATAACTGCTTCCACAAAAGTATGAAAGACCTCCTCAAGAGTAATATA